CGAAGTCACGGGAGGCCGCCGCCGCGCGTTGGCCGCCCGCCCGCGCGACGCCCCGCCCTGCCGCCCGCCTCCGCCATCTCGCCCTCCACGCCCATCCTCGCCGCGGCAGCGGCGGCGCCTCGCCGACGTCGCCCGCGGCGGCGCTTCCGCCGAGGCGCGGGGGCGCCTGGCGGCCGCGGCCCCGCCTCGGGAGCGTGCGCAGCAGCTCCAGGAGGTCGCTGGGGGGCTCGAGCCTGCGCAGGGCGGCGGGGCTGGCTGAGGTCGACGATCGCCGCCCTCAGCATGCCCTCCGCCGCTCGCAGGAGGCGCGCCCCGCCGCGGGACGACGCCTCCCCTGCCAGCCCGCTGGCGGCGTGAGCCGCCAGGAGCGCGCCGCGGGCGGCCTCCAGGGCCCCCCGGCGCGCAGCGTCCGCGCCGCTGGCTTCAGCACGCGCGGCGAGCCCAGCGGCGGCCATCACGGCGGACGGCGGGCGCGGGCCCAGGCGACGCACGGCCTGATACAGCGCGGCCGGAGGAGGAGGAGGAGGAGGAGGAGGAGGAGGAGGGGGAGGAGGAGGAGGAGGAGGAGGGGAATAGGAATAGGAATAGGAATAGGAATAACCCTGGGGCGCCACACCATCCATCCTGCTTGCAAAGAGAAGGGCGCCTAGGTTCTCCGTCTGGAGGCCTGAGTCGCGCCAGCGTGCTGACCGTCGCCTCACAGAGAGGGACGGCTCGGGCCCAGTGGCGCACCCTTTGGCGCGCAGCCTGTGGCTGCCACCATCAGCACCAACCTCAGGGAGTAACCTTGCCTGAGAGGTGCACCTGCATTCACAGAAAAAGAGGAGGCACCGCAGGAGGAGGCAGCGCTAGGCTAACCACCTCGACCCGCAGTGCCCCTTCCTTTGCCCCTTCCCCTACCACGGCGAGGCGGTAGACGAGGGAGCTGAACAGCTGGCCCAGCTCCATCAACATTCTGAAACTGAACAGTGGGTGGGGTGGGGTTCGGAGGGGGCTCAAGGCCAGGAGGAGGAGAGATAACGACAGGCGAAATCAGAGTGGGCGGGGGGGGTTCTGGCATCCCCTGCACTCGCCTAGCGGCAGATTCAGAAAGCCTACCCGCCTGCAGCAGCTCACGGGCACGAAGACTCGTGCCCCACACAGGATGAGCACGTCCAGCGCGGCCACGACCGCGTCCACGACTCACTTCACCAGGTCCAGCAGCCGCTGCGCCTCGCGCACCAGCACCCCGCGCGGGGCGCCCCCGATCGTCTTGGTGCCGCCCTGCTCCTTCAAGGTCTGGCGGAGCGCCATCAGCAGGTCGTGCGAGTTCGGCTGATCCGAGCTGAGCAGGAACTGCACCTTCGCCAGGTCGGTCGTGCCGTCGGGGGCTTTGGCTTTCAGCTTCTTCACGCGGCAGAACCTCACCATGTCCGAGAGATCCTCGGGCTGCTCCACCTTCGTCACGGTGTTCGTCCAATAGTGGACTGCCGCTTGCCGCTGCAAGGAGATATCTGATTCGCCATCTTTCGTCGCTGCCACTTCCACCACCGCTGCGAACACCCGCAGGTGCGGGGCGCACAGCTTCTTCTTCACGAAGGACGTATTGTTCTGCTTCTGGGCCTCCTTCTCCTTCTCCCGCTCCGCCTGGGCCTCCGCGTTGAAGGCCTGATTCTCCACGAGCGCCGCCTCCACGACCTTGGCCGAGACGGGGGCGAGCCACGTGTCGTACACCGCGCCGATGAGCGCGCGCAACTCCGCCTCGTCGCTGAGCACCAGCTTGGCCAGCACGATCACCAACTCGTCGATCGTCTGCTTCTTGGCCGGCTTGGAGCCGACGCCTCGCTGCTGCGGGACCAGCACGCTTGCCTCGCCCGTCCTGCCCTTCTTGTCGGCTGGGGGCTGGTCGCTCAGCTTTGCCATCCAACCTGGCCGCTCCTGAGAGCCGCCCATAATCAAGATCGTCCGTGTAGCAGTGTAGGTGTCGGTCGTATATACGAATAGCTCGAGGAAAATGTGTTCGGACATGCATCTGGTAGTCTGCCAAATCAGCGGCGTGATATTCACACAACAAACAATGTAAGTCGCCAACATCGCATAAAGGGTCCTGAGTTCGACCTCCCCCAAGATAACAACAGCCCCGAATCATAGATCCCACGAGGTGTCTACTGGCCGTGACCGTACTCGAGAATATCCCAAGACAGTTAGGACACTGATTGGTTTTGCAAAGAACGTGCCCGAGGGACCGTAGGTTATGATGAAAACGCAAATGATTCAGAGCAGCTTTTTTATCAGGAAAAACTTCTCCGCACAGAACCTCATTCCCAGACTCCCCGTCAACGGAGCAGACCCCACATACCCACTTAATGTTCGCCTCTTTCTCTGTCTCCACCCCCTCCTCCTCGACCGTGGTGTTGGGAACAAACCCAGGAGGAGGAATAGCCACCGTCTGAGTACGCCGTCGAAGAAGGGTGACATCAATTTTACAGAAGGCTTTGCCAAGCTCCTTATCCCACCAAAG